CCTTGCATGTCCTGTGTTTTAGCATTGTATGCTAGCTTGCTTTGGCTTACTTCCTTGCATGTTTTAGTCTCATATCAACATGTACTAGGAGTATTTTGGGTTTCCCTTGCCATATCTTTCATGCTTCGTATAGCTGTAGTGTAATTGGCCTTGCAAGCTTCGTGTTTCGGTGATTCACGCATGCTATCCTTGAGCTATTTAAATGATTTGGCATCATTTATCATCTTATTTCAGTGCATATAGTGTTGTTACGCTTGCACATTTGTCACTTCTTATGCACTTTTGAGAGTTGCCCTTTTAGGCCCCTTTGATGAACCTTTCGCATTTCGCATGCTTGAGTGTGTTGTTAGGCTTAATTCATCGCTTTGGCCACTGATTTGGACCTAGTTAAGAGCCCTCCATCTTTGGTGTAAGCCCATCTTACCATGTTGTCGCATGCTTGTTTCATATCGTATGTTGTCGCATACTTGTTTAGCTTTGCATACCTTGCATGCCCACATGTTCATGTTGCATTTTGTCATGTTGTCCAAGGTCATCACCTCACATCATGCTTATATGCTTGTTGCATGCTTGGTTTAGTTGCATGTTTGCACATTTAGGTCATGTTGCATGTTTGCCATGCTTATGTGTTGCATTGCTTGGATTAAGTGTTAATCCGAGCATGAGAAACGAGGGGCGTTTCATACTTCAAGTGATGGAACGTGTCTCAATTCTCGGTCACCGAAGCTCTTGATGATTCATGATAGAGTTCTAGGCTTTACTTGCTTTATTTGTGCATTCATTTTCATATTGATTTGCACAAGTTGCATCTTTGGCCATCATGCATCGGGATGCGTGATTGATGGTCGTGGATCCGACTAGGCCTCTCCCTTGATGTTTTGAGGTGATTTGGAGTGCCATGGTGCATACATGTCTTTGGGAGACCCTCCATTTCCTCTATTTTGTGCTTCGTTGCAGTTTGGTATCACAACACACCAGTGGCCAGCAGCCTGCCACTGATGGCCAGCAGTGTGCCACCCTTGGCCGGCAATGGACCACCTTTGGCTGGCAGTGATCTTTCCATGGCCGACAGGCCACTGGTGACTTCCCCTGCAGTGTTTTGGTAAGGTCCAGCAACAAGCACTGGAAGACACCTTGCAAACAGAGCCTCTAAAGAGCAACCAGAAGGCCGTTTCGAGGCGAAGAACCGAAGCGAGCATGCATGTCTCCCTTCTTCAAACAGAGCTGGAATAGCACCGTTTACTGCTTTCCCTGCCTGCTTGTTGTCATTCATTAGTTAGTTAATTGATTTGTTAATTAATTAAGTTGTGTAATAATTAGTTGTAGCTAGTTATTCAATTTGGTTATGTAATAATTAAGTAGCTTGTTAGCTAGTTAATTAGGTGGCTTGTATTATTTATTCGGTCCCTCCGAGTGAGGGCACGATTGTAATAAGTGTGGGTGTGTGTGTGCATGTCTTCCAACCCCATTTCTTTCTCCCTTTTATTTAACCGTTTATAATGGTTAGATTTAGGGCATATTTCAATTAGCATACCTTATGCTATGCATGTGTGTATTCATTCATCTGTATTGCATGCACCGGGCTCGGCGCATCATACTAACTGCATAGTATTTCAAATCTTAATTGAATACGTGTTATCTGTTGCATTTCACATGTCATCCATAGATTAGCCGAGCCTATTCTAGTTGCATTTTGCCTGCGATGCATTAGCCATTCTAACATGGACTTGGATCATGCATGATTACTAATGAGTTCTCTGTTTTGGCACGGAGTACGATGTAAGTATTTATGCTTTAACATCTCGCATGAGTGTGATTGTTAACATGACAGCATGCTTACCATGTAGCTATATGCTTATGTGATAAACTGCCTGAATGCTTGTGGGTGAAGGTTGGATTACTTGAATTGGGATAATTCATTGAAATCCGCATTTTAGCCTACTTGCGAGTAGCAAACTTTAAACATTTCCAAACAAACGGATATGCAATGTTTTGTTCCAATTCAGGCGATCCAGTTTATACTTGTATGCTGTGCGCATCACATAGTAAATCTAGGCTAAAAACCGGAATAAGAACACATAATGTTTTCAAAAGTAGATATCATGGTTAGTAGAGGCCGATCTTTGATCGGGCGAGCGGGGGTGCTCACGAAGTGACCTTCCCCAATTGTACCCAAGTTCCCGAGCCGAGGCAACTTTGGTGATGACGGACACGTGGCCTTAGGCAACGAGTCAGGGTTTCCTAAATTCCCCCAAAATAAATATTTAGGTGGCGACTCTGTATTTGGCAAAGCAGTCCATGTTTGGTACTTCTTTCAAAAAATCTGTTTTCAAAAACGATTTGCCGGATTTGGACTCTTTAATGATTTCATCGGTTTTGCATTGCACTTTGCGAGATTAGATACAGGACCGTGACATTGAGTCCTGAACTGTAGTCAGCCCAAATGAATAGAACGGGGGATTCATCCTCCCGGGACGTTTGGGGACCTCTACAATAATATATTACATCGGCACGTTGGCTGAAATCTTAATGGTCATGGACACGCGATTCATCAGTGTGCTCAACATATAAGTGCGTAATATTCTTATATCAATCCATGTAACCCGGTACACTTTCCCAAGGCTGATGAACTGGTGTACTCCTCCGTTGCTCAGATAACACGTGGTTATCCCAAGCCTCCCAGATTCTATCCAAGTATCTATACATGACTATATATCGTGCAAATATGTTGCCTCGAGCACCACGACTGGGAGCTAGCGGTGCATCTAGGATGGTTTGAACCTTGCCAAACTACCTCAGAACTCTATTTGGATGATAGGGTTCGACAATGTCTAAGCACTTTAAGTATCCATGGTAGAACGTAACCGAGTTACATGGATGTTGGTCTCTACAGCTCTGGTATGGATCCCAAATAACCTGTAAATGTAAAGTGTTTTTGAATTAAAGTATATAAAGGGTAAGATAAATGGAAAGTGTTAAAATTATCTCAGGATGAGTAAACTTACATCAATAGCTACCAAACTATCAAGTTCGGCTCGAAAAGATTAAATGATCAATAGAGGAACCCCCCTCTCTCCTAGATGCCCAATGGTACACGTGTGGCATGTCTTCATTATAGCCCATGTTCTGGTGAGGTCGGAATGCTCGGAAGTGCTCATAAATCCACGCCTCCAAAAGAGTCATATAACCACCATCTGCTTAACCCTGGACCGGCTAGCATACCCCAACTGTCTGTATAAAAATGATAACGCAGCAGCACCCTAAGCGTAAGTATGAATGGATCCCAAATCCATCAATAAGCCAAGGTAAACAACAGGAACCCTGCTGCCACTCTTGTCACTAAAGAGTGTACATCCCAACAGAAACAACAAATAAGCTCTAGCAGCACACTGTATGGCCTCCTCGAGGTCTGAATCTGTGACACCAGCAAACTGACTTCGCAACCACTCAAGCCTGACTAAATTGCCACCAGTAGTAGAAACATCTTCATACGCTGCACATTCAGTAATCCCCAAGCCATAAACGAGTAGTGTAACTCCATGATGATCTGTCACATCTGGTACGCTGACTGATTTGCCTACAATGGAAAGGCCAAGAATAGTGCCAACATCATCCAGGGTCAAGGTCATCTCACCAACTGTCATGTGAAATGTGTTCGTCTCAAGTTGCCATCTCTCAACAAAACTGGAGATTAGAAGCTTGTTAACGAACCGATAAGTGCAACGAGCTAGTTGTGACAATCCAGACTGCTCAATAATGACTTTGAATCTAGTGTTGTTGTCTACTGACCACCATGGCCATGCAAGGATCTTCGAAGAGTGATTATGACACTTTAGGGGCTCTCGTTCCTATAACACAAATAATATCTCATTAGAAACTACCATACAACACACACAGGAAAAAAAAGTTCATATACAAATGAATTTCACTTCTACTCAGGAATGTTTACCTCCCCGTGCCAAACAGCTGCAGCGACATGACTATTGAAACTCCGCAGTATTGATGGATCAGTCGGTCCAGTTAGAAAAGCATGAGTAAGGTCCTCTTCCTGGACAGGAGGAGAATTAGGTAAAGAGGCATCCTCCACAGCAATGTCAGGCATATCACAACCTTGAACTCGTCTTTGGTTTCGGCCCCGACTTTGATTGGCACTGGGGATATCATATTCTACCGAAACTGGATCACGACCTCGACCACGACCTTGACCTCGTCCTCGCCCACGCCCTCGTTCCCGTTCATGGTCTGCATCCAATTCACGACGTCATCTATTTGAAGCAGTAGGTGGGACACGTTGTTGACATTCAGAATCCATATTATCTGCAAAAAATAATAAGTGTGTGTAATGAGTGTGTGTAAATAAAGAATGGCCGTGCAAACAAGTGTGTATAAATAAAGAGAGTGTGTGTAAATAAAGAGAGTGTGTGTAAAATTATAATAAGTGTGTGTGTAAAATTATAATAAGTGTGTAAATAAAGAATGGCCATGCAAACAACAATATACATGGCCATGGTGGGGAAATTATAATAAGTGTTTATTCAAGTGAAATTACTAATAAGTGTTTAACAAAATTATAATAAGTGTGTGTAAATTATAATAAGTGTGTTTATTAAGTGTGTGTAAAGAGGGGAATGGGGATGTGGAAATATAAGCTCCCTTCAAACAACAATATACAAAAGAAAGAAAAAAAAGAAAAAAAAACGGTTTGGAAGTTCACAACCGAAAATACATATTCAGTTCAGAAATTGAAATCCGAAACACAAACATAATTTCGGAAGTTGAGTGTTGACCAAATTCAAATTTTTCGGAAGTTGACTATTGAAACAATGAAACATTTTCGGAAATCTACTGATGAAATTATTGATTATTTTTTGATTTCTACGTCCAAACAAATTGTTATATTTCGGAAAACCAGTTCCGAACAACGGTTACAAATGAAAAACTCTACATTACAAGTGAAAAACTCTACATTACAAATGAAAAACTCTACGTTACAAATGAACATGGGGTATGCTAGCCATTGGGAGCTATTTGGCAAATGAAAAAAATTAAAGATTGCTGAAAAAAGTTACCCTAACTGTGTGAAGCAGGGAGCTATTTGCACCATTGGGAGAGCAATGTGAGAGATGCAGCGCAGCTTCAATGGGTGTATTTGTATCGTTGGGAGAGCAATGTGAGAGATGCAGCGCAGCTTCAATGGGTGTATTCGCATCGTTGGGAGAGCAATGCGAGAGATGCAGCTTCAATGGGTGTGCACCATTGGGAGAGCTGGGTTTGAGGGTGTGTGTGTGTGTGTGTGTGTGTGTGTGTGTTAGAGTGTGAGGGTAGATGTGGAATCAAATGTGTGTGCAGTGAGTAAAAGAATTAGGAATGATTTTTTTTGGTGTGTGTAGTGAGAAGGATTTGCAAAGAGGGTATTTGGTGTGTGTAGATAGAAGCTCCCGACATTATCAAGCCTATCCATTTTAGCCAATCAAACACAGTGTAGGAACATGAAAAAAAAAATAAAAATAAAAATAAAATTTGAGGGGGAGGGGGGGGATTACCTATCAGTGTTAATTTGAGAAAAGTATTACATATGTATGGAAAATTTTATAATTTTAATTATTGATATTGATAAAGTTTACCATTAATTTATAATTATTTTTCAAATTCTACACTAATATGAAATTTTTCACAAAAAATAAAATAAGATGAAACCTATTTGGACTCTGCGTTTTATCAATCCCAATCCTCTCCTACTCACTCAGCTGTGCAGTTCAGCTAGGCATACCAGACATAATTCACAACCACAAAAAACCCATCTCTCTCCCTGACCTAGTCTCATCACTCCAATTGCCTCCCTCAAAAATCAACGCTCTACACAGACTCATGTCCTTGTTAACTCACTTGGGTTTCTTTGCCACAACAAAACTTGATCCAAATCATGGAGATCAAAAAGGGTATGTCCTCACTCCAACAACATCTAGGTTTCTCATCAAAAGTGAATTACCCAATTTGTCACCATTTGTCCGAGCCACGGTCGATCCGGTTATGGTCGCTCCATGGCAGTTTTTGGTAGATTGGTTCAGAGGCAATGAAGAAACAACATTTGAGACTGCACATGGGGTTGGCATCTGGGAGTTTTACGACAAAAACTCGAAATTCAATAACCTATTTAATGAAGGAATGGCTAGTGACTCAAGAATGATGGGCTTGGTTATTAGGAACTGTGAGGCAGTGTTTGGAGGGTTGAATTCATTGGTTGATGTAGGGGGTGGCACTGGTATCATCGCTCAGATCATTTCTGAGGCATTTCCTAGTATAAAATTCATAGTTTTCGATCTCCCACATGTTGTTGAGAACTTGCCAGAGGGGAAGAACTTGAACTATGTTGAAGGTGACACGTTTCAGTCTTTCCCATCCGCGGATGCCATTTTCTTCAAGGTAGGCAATTCTTTTCTGGATTATTTCCAATGTTTCAAAATGGAAATCAAGTAAATTTTAGGAATTGCATCATATATGTAGGCCAATTTCTGTGTTTTTGTTTAATTTGATATCGAGTTACTTGAGTTGATTGATCAAATAGCCAAGTTCTAAAGAGAAATCATTATTAAGGATTCAAGGCCATACATATTGATATATAGAACTACTATTTATTTGCTGAATAGGGTAAAGTTCGCACAATTTAGGAGAATTCTAGCAGATAGCTTTATTTATTTTTTTTTATTTTTTTATAATTAACAAAAACAAGAAAACTAAAAGGGAAACTTAAAGTAAAGAACAAATATCAAGCATTGGTTTCAAAATTATTCTGAGAAACATTCAAAAAAAACTTGATGTTCATGCAAGTATTGTAAATTTAAGGCAATCAATTGAACTAGAATATATTTTTGGACTTGAAAATGGCAGTGTGTTTTGCATAATTGGAGCGACGAGGACTGCGTAAAGATATTGAAGAGATGTAGAGAAGCTATTCAAAGCAGGGAAGGAGGGAAGGTTATCATCATAGACATTGTGGTAGATGGGGACAAAGATGAACATGACATTACTGAGACAAAGCTTGTTTGTGACATATTCATGATGGTTTTGGCGACTGGAAGAGAAAGAAGTGAGAAAGAGTGGGAAAAGATTTTCTTGGAGGCTGGCTTTAGTCACTACAAGATCACACCCAGCTTTGGTTTAAGGTCCCTCATTGAGGTATATCCTTAAATTATGTGGGGAAAATTTCATTTTACCTTCTTAGAGTTTGGCCCTTCTGTAAATTATCTCCTATGATTTAGAAATAATCACATAAACTTTTTATGATTTGTAAACTAAAGTGTACTCTTTTTCACCTAACTTAATGTTAAGTGTGGAAACACATGCTAGGATGAAAATAGTACACGGAGGTTAAAGTGAACTTTGTCTCCTAAAAAAATGATGAAAATGTTTACGATTTGCACAATGAAGTTACTTATGTATAAGTGTATTTTAGTTTTTTTTACTTAAGCTTTTACTACTAAAAAATGCACGTTGCGGCCATTACAAGCCGTTGCAAAAAATAGAAAAATACAGTCGCAAAAGATTTTTTGAGACGGCCATGCCACGACAAATGGAGGACACAAATGTGAGGGTGACAAATACTTTTTATGACGGTAAAGTGTTGGTCACAAATTATTTGAAACCGTCTAACTTACTTATTGCATCTGCTATTTTGCTGTGGCGAAAAACAAAAAAAAAAATACTTACTATGCTTTAGCGACTATCTTGTTATTGTCGCAAATAATTATTTATTATAAAAAATATATAGATGCATTTGTTATAATAAAAAGATCAATTGCAAGCACCACAAATTTATTTTTTTAAAAAAAATAACTTACCAACACCAATACATCTCATAATGGTAAAAAAATTCTTGCTGCAACAATTTATCTATATATTGCGACTAAAAAAAAAATCTACAAAGAAAAAAAACAATAGAAAAATTAGAAATCAGTCATTTGGAAACCTAACAATCTTATCAACACACAATGTTTACCCAATCTCCAACTAAAAGCGAAACACCTAAACAGTAACCATGACAAGTAGTTGGACTATGAATTTCTACATAAGTTTTGTACCAACCAAAGAAATGGTCCTCCCTTTTGAATTCTTATCAAAGCACAAGCTGCAAGCAAGCAAGCCGATTTCTATCTAGCATACACGAACACCCGCTGAGGGTTTTATCACAAATTAACTGGACACTAAAATGATTTTCATTAAAATAAAATACAAAATGCAATAAGATTTCATAATAATTGATAGAGATGTAGTGGTCCATGGCATTATGATTGGTGGAGAAGGTATGGTATTATGATTTTATATTGGGTGATTGAAGAATATGAGATAACATAATAAATGATAATTGGTGAAAAAATATGGACACGTGATACTCCGAAAATATTTAATAATTTTCTGTTCTATTAATATAAAAGAATAGAGGGTAAATACATTGTTTACAGCAACGAGGGTAAAGATGTCTTTTTGCATTTTTTGTTAACAGTATTAGTAGTGCATTTTAATTCAAACCATATGGGTGGCATTTGCATATTTGTAAAACACAGCAGGGTAAAGTGCTCTTGAGTAATATCACATGAGTGTAAAGTGAATTTTACCCTTAATTTTAATTCAATGCATGGCACTATTATTAAAAGAAAAATGATGATGTGGCCAAAATGAAAGCAAAAAATGTTAGGGATATGTAAAAAAATTATCAAAAAATTTACCAAACCACCCATATGAGTGTGAGTATTTGATAATTTTTTAATAAAAAAATTTGAAATCTCTAACATCATTGTTCATTAAAATAGATTGATGTATGACACCCACAAAGCCTTGTACAAATTAGAGTTAAATAGGTTTGAAGAACAGTACTCTTATTTTGTGCTTAGATTATAAATTTATATAGCAATTGGGAAATGAATAAAGAAACATTATATGAAATGCAAATAAAATATAACTATATTTTACATATTTTTAAAATTTTATTTTTCAAATTCCTACCCAATGTTGGAAGTCATATTGAGTAATTGAAGGAATTTAGCTTTGTTATATTAAACTACACAATCAGTGGGTTAGCCATGATTGTAGCTGTTAGCATATTATATGTTAGTGCTACTTTACTCATTATGTTAGTAATGCTTTCATCATTAATGTTTTCTCTTTCGGCTTGTAACTCCTCTATATAAAGGAGCTAAACAACACAGATAGACATATCAATATACATACAGAAATTCCCTGTTTTCATCTCTTCCATATCTCTCTGTTTTCATGGTATCAGAGCTATGTTTGTGTGATTCTTGATATCCTTATTGTTTGAAGCTTTCAAGGGTTTCCACACCCTTGCCTTCACTCAACATAGGTGACAACCAGAATAAGGACTCCATGGTTGAACCCTCAAGCCCTTTGTTTATTCACTCATCAGATCATCCAGGCCTTTTCCTGGTCTCGAAGCGTCTTGACGGAAACAATTATGTAACATGGAGACGCTCCATGGTGATTGCTCTCACTGCCAAAAAAAAAATTGGTTTTGTTAATGGTACGATCAAAGCCCCGCACACAACCAAGAAGCCTATCGATTATGCCCTGTGGGAACGCTGTGACAAAATGGTTCTCTCATGGCTTCTCAACTCCGTTGAAGCAGATTTAGAAGATGGTGTTGTGTACGCTGAGATGGCACATGAGATCTGGAACGATTTCCATGATTGTTTTTCTCTAGGCAATGCCCCACGAATTTTCCAGATCCAAAAATCAATCAGTTCACATGCACAAGGTTTTATGCCTATCTCCACATACTATACAAAACTCAAAGCTTTATGGGATGAACTTGCATCCTATAAAACTCAACCCACTTGTTCTTGTAGTGGAATGAAGGTTTACAGTGAACAACGGGAACAAGATCAAATTATGCAATTTCTCATGGGTCTAAATGAGTCTTACAATGCCATACGTGGTCAGATTCTTCTCATAAATCCGTTACCAAGTGTTCGGAAGGCATATTCTTTAATTACTCAAGAAGAAAAACAACGGGAAATTGGTTCCTCCTCAACAGAAAACTTTTCTGTTGCTGCAACAGTGCATAAGTACAAAGGCTCCAACTCTTCTCGTTTTGGAACCCAAAATCTGTCAAGAGATCGTTCATCCTTCAATCACTCTTCTCATTCCAGAAATCCATATCAGTCCGGAGATCGTTCATCCTCTTTTGATCTACATTGCTCCTACTATGATCGTGATGGACACAATATCGAGACGTGTTACAAATTACATGGATACCCGCCCGGACAAAGGTTATTTCATGGAAAGGGCACCAATGCAGACAATCATGGCTATATTCAACAACAGCAGCGTGATGGGAACAAATGAAACAACACCAATCCGTGTGGAAACCATTCCATCCACCAAGTTCACACCATGGACCCTTCCACACAACAGTAGCCAGCCCACAGAAACCTTGCTAGTCATTCTGATTCGGCAACCCATATCTTGCACCAGGTTCTTGCTGGGCTTTCTGAGGAGCAATGCAAACAACTCACCACTGCCATGGCAAACTTGTCCAAATCATCCTCCGAAACCTCCGATGTCTTTGCTAATGCAGCAGGTCAGTTTCATCCCTCTATTCCATCCATTAATTCAATTTTTTCTCATTCATGGATTCTTGACAGTGGAGCCACGGATCATATCACATCCGATTCCTCTTTTTTTTCTCATAGTCATCCATCTCCTATTCCTTCCATTACCCTACCTACAGGATCGTCAATTTCTATTGATTCTACAGGCACCATTCTTTTCAATAAAGACATCACTTTAGACCAAGTTCTTCACGTTCCTTCTTTTCGTTTAAATTTACTATCTGCTAGTAAACTCACCAAATCCCTTCATTGCTGCATCATTCTTTTTGCTGATTTTTGTGTCATCCAGGACTTGGCTTCAGGGAAGATGATTGGCTGGGGGAAGCAGAATAATGGACTCTACTACATGTCGCCATTGACCACAGCCCCACTTTCCTGTCATGTCTCATCACCGTCCTCAATCTGGCACCAACGTCTTGGGCATCCTTCATCAGCTCGTCTTCAACTCTTATCTAAATTGTTTCCCTCCATGTCTATTTCATTTAATAATGATTGTGTTGTTTGTCCTATGGCTAACCAAACCCGCATTCCCTTTCCCTTAAGTACAACATTAACTGTTTCACCATTTGAATTACTTCATTGTGATATTTGGGGTCCACATCGCATTCCCTCACATACTGGTGCACGTTACTTCTTTACAATCGTGGATGATTTTACTAGGTGTACTTGGGTCTTCTTGATGACATACAAATCTGAAACACAGGCCTTGCTTAAAGCTTTCTTTGCCCTAGTCTATAATCTGTAATGACCCTAAAATGCGTATAGAAAGTTATCCTTATTTAATTAGGGGTTAATGTGTTTTCTATTGGAATTGAAGAACTATCTGTTGGGTTATGCCTTTGAAACCGGAATTGGTGACCTTTACCGAACAATCTGAAATTTTTCCCTCCGCTCGAGCGGAGTAGTTGGCGTTCGAGCGTAATTTTGGGGCTCCCAGCAATTTTGCAGATGGCTTGAGATTCTGAGGGTTGTAAATTTCCTCTCGAGCGTAGAAATGGTCGCTCGAGCGGGAGGCTTTGTTGGTCCGTACGCTCGAGCGCAAGGTTGGGCGCTCGAGCGGGTCTCTAGGTTGAATTTGAATTTCTGAGACACGTGGGTTCATTTTTGACATTTTTATTGGTATGTTTGGAACCTCATTTTATTTTGGGGTCTTGCTTGAGGTGGTAATATGATGGTAAAGTAAGATTGGACCAAAAACTTTAATTCGAATAATTCGTCTACGATCAGCCGGCACTCTTTTGCCTTTTTCTTTCGCCACACTTTGAATTTGGATTTGAGGTTAGAACCATTGGAAAGCTTATCTTCGGGGCTTCAATTTGACCACGAGAATGACCTAAAACGGAGTCCGGATGGGAGAGTTATGCCTGTTTGAAGTTTTGAAATCTGTGCTGAGAGCAGGTACGCTCCAGCGGGAATAAGGACGCTCGAGCGGGTTTCGCAAGTACAGCAACTTAAAAACGGGATTTTGAGATCATTTCTTACATTTTTCTTTTCCCCTCTTCTCTCCTCTCTCCCTAGGTCCGAAAACCCTAGGGTTTTGATCCCAAATCCTCACCATTTCTCTAAGTTTTGATCAAGATCTTCCACCAAGGAGTGAAGAAGGCATGAAGATCAACATTTTCCACCGATGGAATTCCGAAATTATGGAGGAATCTCACCAAAGCTTGCTTGATTCTTGAGGTATGGAATCTTGGGAGTTAAATTAATGGGTTAAAATGGTGGATTATGAATCCTAGGTGTATAATCAATGGGAAAGATTGGAATAAAGTAATGGGTTAATAAGTTTGATTTTCTTCTTGCAATTTCAATATTTTCTTGAAACCCTAGGTTGATTAATGATGATAACCAATGATTTGGCCCAAATTGAAGGTAGAATAATGAAATTGAGATATTGAATTATATATGTACAAGTTTAATTGGAATTTGGAAATGTTTGAAAATTATGTTTAAAATTTGCGAATGAACTTTGTTATGAACGTGTCGAATGAACAGAATATTGTGTTGTGAGCCGCGTGCCAAACAAACAAAGTATTGTGTTTTGAGCTGTATGCCGAATAAACCGAATATTGTGTTATGAGCTGCGTGTTCAGAATGAGCAGTGTGCTGATCCAAGCTGTGTGTTCAAAGTGAACAGAATACTGTGTTGACTGTTTCACTGTTTTAGGCCAGAATGGCGATCAGAAGTGCTCTCCTTGAGTACCATTCCCCATCAAAGTTATCTTGGCTATGCTTGCAATGAGGGAAAGTTATGAACATGATTAGGACAAAAAACGGCATTTGTGGTTTCTACATGCAAATGTTGCTCCTTGTCGGCATTTCAGAACCTTTATACTGTGAGTTGAAGGGAAGTATTCGAAAAATACAAGAAGAGATCCCCGTCAGAGTAAAGCGGTTTACCGCCACACGCTCCATGAGGTGCTTTCTAAAGTGCCGCTTTGTCTGTTTATTGCATTCCCTAAACATCATTCTCTACATTGCTTGTAACATGTACTGTATCATCGCACTTACTACGTTTATTTGCATCTTGTGTTATCTTGTATCATTTATCCTTTTACGCCGAGCTGCGTTTAGGATTGTTGTCCTCCGGGACTTTCTCAAGTTGCGCCGAGCACGCGCCTGATAGTTTGTTTCAGACCTCCTCTCACAATTTCAGTGTGATTTGACTGTCCCATTCCTCACACGATTTCAATGTGTTTGGAATTCATCTCAGGTTGCGTTGTGTATGCACCTGGGCGGTTGTTTTCAGGCCTCTTCTCACGATTTCAGCGTGGTTAGAGCGTTCATTTCTTCAGTTTTGGGACGGTCATTTGGGGAACAGTGATCAGTGGTCGAATACAGTTATTCAGCTATGCTTATGTCTATTCTGGTAAAATTGGGCTGAGATGCTGCCTGTTTTCTCTTTAGCTAAGTGCTACGATGTGAGTCACCTCTAGAATCCGTGTGAGACACCTCTTGAGTTCATATATTTATATGTTCAAGGGCTGTAATGCCATTCTGATAAGGGCTGTAATGCCAATCTGATAAGGGCTTATGCCATTCTAATATGAAACAAAGTGCTACACGGAGCTAAGTGCTACGATGTGAGTCACCTCTAGAATCCGTGTGAGACACCTCTTGAGTTCATATATTTATATGTTCAAGGGCTGTAATGCCATTCTGATAAGGGCTGTAATGCCAATCTGATAAGGGCTTATGCCATTCTAATATGAAACAAAGTGCTACACGGAGCTAAGTGCTACGATGTGAGTCACCTCTAGAATCCGTGTGAGACACCTCTTGAGTTCATATATTTATATGTTCAAGGGCTGTAATGCCATTCTGATAAGGGCTGTAATGCCAATCTGATAAGGGCTTATGCCATTCTAATATGAAACAAAGTGCTACACGGAGCTAAGTGCTACGATGTGAGTCACCTCTAGAATCCGTGTGAGACACCTCTTGAGTTCATATATTTATATGTTCAAGGGCTGTAATGCCATTCTGATAAGGGCTGTAATGCCAATCTGATAAGGGCTTATGCCATTCTAATATGAAACAAAGTGCTACACGGAGCTAAGTGCTACGATGTGAGTCACCTCTAGAATCCGTGTGAGACACCTCTTGAGTTCATATATTTATATGTTCAAGGGCTGTAATGCCATTCTGATAAGGGCTTTATGCCATTCTGACAAGGGCTTCATGCCATATGTACAAGGGCTACATGCCAGCATGTTTAAGGGCTCCATGCCATATGTTCAAGGGCTATATGCCATCATGTTTAAAAGTTTAATGTTAATGTGTTCAAGGGTTTTAAGCCACTATGTCTCACGATTGGGCCTAAGGCCATTTTGAAATGAAAACAGGAACAGATTAACTGCGTGATCTTTGTATTTAAGTATGCGTTGCTAGATGTTATGTGTAAATCGAGCATTTAAGTACTATTACCCACTGAGTTTGCCTCACTTTATGTTATGTCTGTTTCTGTAGGTAAACAACCAAGTGGTTAATCCTGAGCCATGATGCTCGTTCTTTTTGTCAACCTTTGAGTGCCCAGACTCTAGATGAAGCCACTCATATTTTTGTGAAATCTTGACAAACTTTTGGCGCTACGCTTTAGTTATTGGCCTAAGGTTGAAATGTGTATAATAGTTTCTTCCGGAATGTTTTTGATGTATGCCCAATTATAGAGCTGGGCTTGTATATATGTGCGTATATATCCGATATTCAGTTGTATGTTTTAGATTTTATTTGTCTGTTTAAAGTTTGTGATCCTGGCATGATAGTAGTAGCTCAATGGAGTTTGTTTCTATTGTCAAATTTTGATATTTAATACTTTCGTTCAGGCCCCATATGTTATATATAACAGGTTAAGTGTCCGTTTCTGAAGTGGTCATGCCCAAACTTCTAGGGGCGGGTTTGGGGTATGACATAATCAGTTTAATGTCAGCATCAAAACTCTTAGAAGCGATAATGGCTCCGAATTTATTTCCATGCGGGATTTTTTTCTTAATACTGGTGTCGAATTTCAACACTCATGTGTTTCCACTCCTCAGCAAAATGGGGTGGTTGAGCGCAAACACCGGCATATTCTTAACATTGCTCGTGCTTTGCGTTTTCAATCACACATTCCCTTGTCTTTTTGGGGTGAGTGTGTGCTAACCGCTGTATACCTCATTAATCATTTACCTACCCCTTTGTTGGCCAATAAATCTCCCTTTGAGTTACTTTATCATAAACTACCGCCTCTTGCCCATCTTTGTGTTTTTGGATGTTTATGTTATGCTACCGTTGTTCATCCTGCTCATAAGTTTGCCTCCCGTGCACGACGTTGTGTCTTTCTTGGTTATCCCACCGGCCACAAGGGTTACAAACTTTATGACTTGGATTCTAAAACTTTTCTTGTGAGTCGGGATGTCAAATTTTTTGAAACCTTTTTTCCTTACCAGCCCAACTCTCCTTCTAACCCAATTTGCACTCGCCCTACTGTCTTACCTCTTTCTCAACCAGACCACACCTCCTCCTTACCTACGCCCGCACCCGCACCCACACCCGCTTCCTCCCAAAATCCTCCACCTTCGCCTACATCGTTGCCTCCTTCTCCCACCTCTGTTCCTCCTTCCCTGCCTCAACGTCGCTCGACCCATTCTACGCAGCCCCCTCTTTGGCACTGCGATTACCTTCTGTCTTTTGCTTCTGCTTCCCCTGCTCCGTCATCCTCGCTGCCGGCTCTTCCTTCAGGTACTAAACACCCCTTGTCTCATTACCTTTCCACTCACCGTTTTTCTCCTTCGCACCGTGTGTTTCTTGCTAACATTTCAGGCCCCACTGAGCCCACTTCCTATGCTCAAGCTGCTTTAGATCCTAACTGGCTACTTGCTATGACGGTTGAGTTAGATGCATTGCAACTCAATCGCACTTGGACCCTTATGCCCTTACCGGCTGGTCATCAACCCATTGGCTGCAAATGGGTGTTTAAACTCAAATACAAATCTGATGGCACCATTGAGCGTTACAAAGCTCGTCTCGTCGCCAAAGGTTACAACCAAATCGAGGGTGTTGATTACATTGAGACTTTCTCTCCTACTGCCAAGCTTACTACTCTCCGTTGTCTTTTGTCTGTTGCTACTGCTCGTAATTGGTTTCTTCACCAACTTGATGTTACAAATGCCTTCCTCCATGGTGACTTGCACGAGGAGGTCTATATGGTTTCTCCTCCTGGCCTTTGCCGATAGGGGGAGAATCTGGTGTGTCGGCTTCATAAATCTCTTTATGGGCTGAAACAAGCTTCTCGTAACTGGTTCTCCAAATTTTCAACTGCTATTAAGAAAGCGGGTTTTCACCAATCTATGGCTGACTATTCCCTCTTTACCAAAGTTAATGGCGATTCTTTTACAGGAGTGCTCATCTACGTTGATGATATTATCATTACAGGCAATAATCTTGAAGAAATAGAACACCTTAAATCTTTCCTTCTCAAACAGTTTCGCATCAAGGATCTCGGTGACTTGAAGTATTTTTTAGGCATTGAATTTTCGCGATCCAAGAAAGGTCTTTTTTTGTCCCAAAGGAAATATGCTCTAGATATTTTACACGATGCAGGTTTAACGGGGGCACGGCCAGAAAAGTGTCCAATGGAACAAAATGTGAAATTACAAACCACAGATGGTGCTATACTCAATGATCCAACGAGATATAGGAGGTTGGTTGGAAAATTAATTTATCTTACTGTCACAAGACCAAACATTGTTTTTGCAGTTCAGAATTTGAGTCAGTTTATGCACCAACCCAGAAAACCACACATGGAGGCCGCACTTCGTGTCTTGCGATTCATTAAGGGTACACCTGGCCAAGGATTGTTTTTCCCGGCTATAAACAATCTTGAGTTAAAAGCTTATTGTGATTCAAATCATGCATGTTGTCCAACAACAAGAAGATCAACTACAGGTTATTGTGTGTTTCTAGGTCACTCCCTTGTCTCATGGAAATCCAAGAAACAGCCAACTGTGGCTCGTTCATCTGCAGAAGCCGAGTACAGGGCCATGGCGAACACATGCCTTGAAATTACATGGCTGCGATATATATTGTGAGATTTAAGAGTCAACCAAAAAGGCCCTGCTCCTTTGTATTGTGATAATCAAGCTGCATTACATATAGCGGCAAATCCTGTTTATCACGAAAGAACGAAACATATTGAAATAAATTGTCACATTGTGAGAGAGAAGCTACAAGCTGGTGAAATTTCTCCAATCTACATTTCTTCACAAGATGAGCTTGCAGACATATTTACGAAAGCCTTGGGGCGGGATAGCTTCAATTACCTGAGTCACAAGTTGGGACTTCTCAACATTCACTCTCCAACTTAAGGGGGAGTGTTGGAAATCATATTGAGTAATTGAAGGAATTTAGCTTTGTTATATTAAACTACACAATCAGTGGGTTAGCCGTGATTGTAGCTGTTAGCATATTATATGTTAGTGCTACTTTACTCATTATGTTAGTAATGCTTTCATCATTAATGTTTTCTCTTTCGGCTTATAACTCCTCTATATAAACGAGCTAAACAACACAGATAGACATATCAATATACATACAGAAATTCCCTGTTTTCATCTCTTCCATATCTCTCTGTTTTCAAATCTATAATCCAACGTATATTGTATCTAAATCATGAATTTGGGTAGAGTATGAATTTAAAAAAAAAAAATTGAAATTAAATGTATTATCTTTTTAAATTTCTACTCAAATCAATAATATAAACACAAGTTTATTAAATCTCAAGAAAGAATTCTAAATCTTAGCACATAATATTAAAAGTGAAAATTACACCTCAGTGGCAAATTTAGAAAATATTTACATATTAATGAAAAAAATTATAAATTCAATTGTTAATGTTTATAAATTTCACCGTTGATTTAAAACTATATTTAAAAAGAATGGGCTACGTTGTAATTCTCTCATATTAAAATGCATCATCTCTTTCGCATCAGCTGGCCATATCTTTCGCTCTCATTTTTTTTCTTGTGGGATTAGCTTCTTCCAGTCTCAAATAGAACTGGAGAGGTGTTATTTGGCTTATTGAATTCACTTTTAAGTTTTATTTCGATAATTTAAACTGTTCATATTTTAAAATTTATTGAATACATCATCTTTGTAAGAAATTAACTCGATCAAATAAGAAAACTATATATTCAAATAAATTTTGTATAAAAAATAAAATAAAATAAAATTCATAAATAATTTATTCAAACAAGTGGTTTCGTTAACCGCATGTTTTGGACTTTTTTGTTTTTTGTTTTTTTTTGGAACTGATGTTTTGGACTCATCAGTGGACTTGAGTATCGGTCCTCTTATTTCATAATACAAATGGGGGATGGCCATTGGATGTGTGGGGATGGTCATTGGATCTCAAAAAAAACATTAAAAAAAACAAAAAAAAAAGGGGAGGTGGAAGAAGAAGAAGAAGAAGAAGGAGGAGGAGGAGGATGGACCAATCACACCTCACTGTGGCCTGGGGCCACCCCAGTGGGCGTCTGAGGCTTTTTCCTTCATAATATAAAAATTCATTTACGTTAAGTTTGGCATCTTTAAAAAAAGTCAAAAAATTAAAAAGTTACTATTCTATTTAAATCATATCATATTATTTAAGTCACATTACATGTAGTACATCACTTCAAACCCAATCCATATTTTATAAAAAGTCAAAAAGTGTATTTATTTAGAACATCCCAAACAGCCCCTTAGTTGGTGTGATAATTGACAAGTATCCCCTCCTTGACTCTCCACCTTAAGTCTTTATTTGATGAGCTATTGGGTCTATTTTTATGCTCAATTTCAATGATCCAAATCGTTCATATTTTAGAATTTATCATATAAATCATACTTGTAAAAAATCAAATTGATCGAATATCGGAAGAACTAAAAATAGTTTATTAAAAAAAAATAATAAGCAATTTTATTGTTTAATAAAACTTTTAGGTCACATACCTTTTGATATCTGATCGACTTGATTTTTTACAAGTATGATATACATGACAACTTTTAAAATGTGAAAGGTTCGGTAGATCAAAATTAGACCTAAAAGTTGGCCCAACGACCCATCAAGTAGGAAGTTAAGTAGGAAAGTCAAGGAGGTGATCCTTACTCGTGATAATTTGGTATTTTGAGAAATTAGTGAAAAATTGATTTTTTGATTTTTTTAGTCTATTTTATCTTTTTGTGGATAAAAAATATAAGAGATAATGTAACCTAAAATGGATAAAAAGCTAAAAACTAACTTTTTTTTTTTTTCTTCCCAAAAGACCCCAATATCACTTATCTTTATATGTTGGCTACAATTTATTCTTGTTAAACACTCCCTTACAAAAATGGTATGAACCCAAAAAAAAAAAAAAAATGTATATATATTTACAAAAATACTCAAAAAAGGCAATATATAATTCAAATTTATTTTAAATATAAATCTCATTATATAAAATTAAATTTAGACTACACATTACTTTTCAAAATAAAATTTTAAATATTTTTTTATGTGTCGTACTTTTTTTACACTCCCGTACCATTAGTTATCAATAAAAGCCAATGTTGGAGGCTTCATGGATCACCGCCATCACCAAAAAAACATTATTATAATTGGTCTTTGTTTTACATTTAAAATTTTTATTACTACAAATCAAGAAGTAATAAAAGTATATAAAATTTATTTTTAGAAATGAAAAACGCTTTTATCATTTTATATAAAAATTATGTACAAATCTTCAATTGTATATCATTACTCATAGGAAATGTTTGATTGGTGGACTAAATTTCTTGACATTGCTTGGTTAATAACACGATTAGGTTAAGGTTAGGATTCGTAATATGTAAAATAGATGATGAGATATATATTGTGAGAGTACTTGTACTATACTTTTAGGTCATGTTTGATTCACAAGATTAATAGTAAAATATTAATAATCTTATTAAATTAGTGTAGTATTCACTATCCAATTGAATTAATATCCATTGGATTAATAATCTCACCCCTACCCATTACTAATAATTCTACAAATTTGTTGGATTAATAATTCATTGGATTAATAATACTAAACCAAAATATTAAAACAAACATAGGATAATTGGGCCTACGGATTAATAATCTCAACCCCATGCTCTAATCCACCCAATCAAACATGCCCTTAATTTTGATATGATAAAATATATGATAAGAGGACAATAATTATTTTTGACCATTAAATGATGTGATATGACTAATCTCATGGCTATAAGATTAGGAATACTATTAGGCCATGTTTATTTGGATGAAGATGAGTTTGGGACTGGACTAATAGTCCAACAAAATTATTAATTCAATGTTTGGTTAAACAATTAAAATACAGACTAACAATCCATCCGGATATGGTATGTCACATATGGTAGATTATTCAATCTTATAGAGGGGAGTGGGATATAAATTTGAGGACAAAGCCAAAGTCTAAACTATTAGTTCTTTCTTATAATCCTACCTCAATCCAAACATAAGATAGGATACGCATTCCAAAGGAATTTGTAGTCCTAGGACTATTAATCATGAGAATTTTAATCCAACCTAATCCAGTCTGCCCAAACCAACATGGCCTTGGGGGTGTAATTGTTAATCTCCCTTTGGCAGAGTAGCAATATCATGATATTATCAAGCTTATCCATTTTAGCCAATCAAACACAATGTATCGTTTTCAAAAAAAAAAAAAAAAAAAAAATGTAGGAACAAGAAAAAAAATTTGGTGGGGGAGAGAAATAACCTATCAATGTTAATTTAAGAAAATTATTATATATGTAAGGAAATCTTATAATTTTAATTATAAATATTAATAAAATTATCACTAATTTGTAATTATTTTTAAAATTCTGCAATGATTTGAAATTTTTCACACACACAATAAATAAATAAATAAATAAAATTGAAATGAAACCCATGTTGGATTCCGCGATCTTACCAGACCAATCCTCTCCTGGTCTACCAAACAAACAAGGCTATAAAGTTCACCATTTCTCTTCATATATATCCTGCTAAAAATTTGTTCTTCGTCAAACACACTAATACCATTACTCATCCATCCAAGCAAGGCCTACAAGGCCAGCTTAGCTATCTTCATGGATCTCCACAATGACCAATTAGGAGCAAGAGAGTTGTTTCAAGCTCAATCCCACATATACAAACATGCATTCAGTTTTGCAAACTCCATGTCACTCAGCTGTGCAGTTCAGCTAGGCATACCAGATATAATTCACAACCACAAAAAACCCATCTCTCTCCCTGACTTAGTCTCATCTCTCCAATTGCCTCCCTCAAAAACCAATTCTCTCCACAGAATCATGTCCTTGTTAATTCACTTGGGGTTTTTTGCTACAATGAAAATTGATCCAAATCATGGAGATCAAGAAGGGTATGTCCTCACTCCATCATCTAAGCTTCTCATCAAAAGTGAAATGGCCAATTTGTCACCATTTGTCCAAGCCATGGTCGATCCGGTTTTGGTCACCCCATGGCAGTTTTTGGGAGATTGGTTTAGAAGGAATGAAGAAACAGCATTTGAGACTGCACATGGGGTTGCCATGTGGGAGTTTTGTGACAAAAACCCAAAATTCAATAACATTTTCAATGAAGCAATGGGCAGTGACTCAAGAATGATGAGCTTGGTGGTTAGAGACTGTGAGACAGTGTTTGGAGGACTGAATTCATTGGTTGATGTAGGGGGTGGTACCGGTATCAATGCTCGGATCATTTCCGAGGCGTTTCCTGGTATAAAATGCACTGTTTTTGATCTTCCACATGTTGTTGAGAACTTGCCAGAGGAGAAGAACTTGAACTATGTTGGGGGCAATATGTTTCAGTCTTTCCCATCCGCGGATGCCATTTTCTTCAAGGTATGCAATTTTTTGAATTCTTAGTTCCAGTGATTGAATCTGGTAATTGAGCAAATTTTAGGATTTGCATCATATATGTAGGGCAATTCCTCTCTCATCAAGTTATTTCAGTAAATTTCTGTCTTTTATTTATTTTTATTTTTTTGTGTTTTGGATTTAATTTGATGTTGAGTTGCTTCAGAAT